GCAGTGTTGACCAAGTTTGGTTAGCGAACCTGAGCCTCTGTTACTACTAGAACCTTTGTCTCTAATGAGAAACCCAATTCTAACCTGCCTCTGTCTTCTCGCTCCTAGGAAACCTGTCTCTCGTGTGAAGCTCTGGAAGAGCTTAGCCTGTTACCTGCCTGCCTGCCCTAGAGAGCCAAACCTGAAGATCTCACTCTGGAGTCCACCTGCTGCTCTCAGGGAAAGAGCTTATCACTCAAACCAAGGTCTGACACTAAACAGTCAGAAGCTAGACGCTGCTGCTGCTGAGCACTCTGCTGAACCAACAGTCTCTGGACCCAACCGGTTCCCTCTCTCAGAGAAGAAAGCCTGGACCTTGTAAAGGTATTTTCTGAAACATCAGAGAACTCAACAACTCATCGATTAACCTGGCTAATCAATCTCATCATTTCCTATAGACCTGGTTCCAAGAACGTCAAGCCCGACTCTCTCTCTCGTCTGTATTCCTCCGATCAACCTGAGACACCCGAACCTGTTCTCCCTGCCTCATGTACCATTGGAGCCGTTTCCTGGGAGATCACTGATCTGATCAACTCTGCCCTGGCTTCTGAACCTGACCCAGGTAATGGTACTCCTAATAAAATGTATGTCCCGTCTTCCGTCAGATCCCGCCTCATCCAGTGGATGCACGCAGCTAAATTCTCGGCCCATCCTGGAGTGAGCAGAACCATCGCCCACATTAACAGGCGATTTTGGTGGTCGTCTCTGCATAAAGACGTCAAAGAGTACGTTCTGGCTTGTCCCATCTGCGCTAGAAACAAGACCTCCCACCAACCACCTTCTGGCCTGCTGCATCCTCTACCTGTTCCAACCCGTCCTTGGTCTCATATCGCTGTCGATTTTGTCACCGGTCTCCCGATTTCTAGAGGTATGACTACAGTACTAACCATCGTTGATCGATTTTCCAAGGCCCGTCATCTAATTCCCCTCAGAAAGCTCCCCACTGCATTCCAGACGGCTCAGCTTCTCGTGAAGCATGTTTTTCCGCCTCCATGGGTATCCCTCAAGAAATCCTCTCAGATCGTGGTCCCCAGTTCATCTCACAGGTCTGGAAAGCCTTCTGTTCTGCATTAAACTGCAAATCCTCTCTCACCTCGGGTTACCATCCTCAGTCTAATGGGCAGACGGAAAGGATGAACCAGCAACTCGAGTCCACTCTCCGCTGCCTGACTTCAAACAATCCTTCTGACTGGAGTCAGTTCCTGACTTGGATTGAATATGTTCATAACTCCCTTAGATCTGCTTCTACTGGTTTATCCCCCTTTCAAGTGTCCATATGGTATCAGCCTCCACTCTTCCCCGCAGACGAGAGAGAGATAACGGTCAGATCTGTCCATCATCACATCCGCCGTTGCCAGCGTATCTGGAAAGATACCATCACCACCCTCACCCGTTCATCTGCATCAACCAAGAGGTTTGCAGACTCCAGGAGATGTCTGGTCCCTGACTACACTCCAGGCCAAGAGGTTTGGCTATCAACCCGAGACATTCCCTTGAAGGCTATGTCCAAAAAACTTTCACCCAGGTTCATCGGTCCATACAGGATTGATCAAATAAT